CCTCATTCCCAGGACAGACAGGGTGGGACAAGGTCAGCTGTGCCCAGGGGACGTGGCATGGCGTGACCTCGCCCCTGGTTCTAGAGCCCAGATGGCGCTCACCTCACCTGGGAGCCACCCTCCGTGACCTCTGGCAAGATCATCGAGTACTCAGTGTACCTGGCCATCCAGAGCTCGCAGGCCAGCGGGGAGCCCAAGAGCTCCACCCCGGCACAGCTGGCCTTCATGCGTGTGTACTGCGGGCCCAGCCCCTCCTGCCTGGTGCAGTCCTCCAACCTGTCCAATGCCCACATCGACTACACCACCAAGCCCGCCATCATCTTCCGCATCGCTGCACGCAACGAGAAAGGCTACGGCCCTGCCACCCAAGTGAGGTGGTTGCAAGGTAGGCCTGGTTGCTTGGGCTTCTAGGGCCGGCTGTGTGGCGGAGCTTGCAGGAGTGGGGTGCGGATGGCTCTTCTTTTCTTCTCCCCCCTCCACCCCCGAGCCCCAGGACACCCTGTCTGGTGTGGCTCCAGATGCCAGGCTGCTGGTGGGGTTGGGGAGGAGTGGCAGCAAGAGAGTACCTCAATTTTGTCTAGGGTGGCCCTGAGCATGGGTGGGGCGGGGCGGGGACTGGTGGGGGCGGGGCCGCAGCTTGCTGTCCACTCACCTCTCCCCCTCTCTCTGCAGAAACCAGTAAAGATAGCTCTGGCACCAAACCTGCCAGCAAGCGACCCATGTCCTCTCCGGAAATGTAAGCGGGAAGCCCTCTGAGGGACCTCCTGGGGTGGGGGTGGGCCGCACCACGCACAGGCGCAGTAAGGACCTTGACATGGCAAACTGCCTTGATGCTCTCACTGCCCTGGTCTAGTCAACACGGTCACTGCGCTGGTCACAAAATCCCGTTTTCTCGTGGCGGAGGGCGAGCACCACTTCTCGCGTGTTCCCGGGGGGACTTAAAAGGTGCGGGGCCGCCGGGTCCCCTCAGTGCCATCCATGCCCTCCTGACCCCGGCCCCTTTCCTCCCATCTTCCAAGGAAATCCGCTCCAAAGAAATCAAAGGCAGACGGCCAGTGAGAGGCGGCTGCCCGGCACCTGGATTCTCCAGCCCCCTTCCGCTTCAGGACCGTGCCCCCGGGCCGCCCTCCCACCCCCGGCACTCACTCTCCCCTCGCCCGCCACTGGCCGCCACTCATCGTTCTCCCTCTCTCGCTGTCTTCAGTAACCTAAAGAAAGCACATTCTCCCCCTGCTGGGGGCGGTGGAGGCTGGCTGGGAAGAGCAGCGAGCCCGCTCGCCTTCCCTCTCCTGGCCCAGCGCTGCCGCCATGCCAGCCGCGCGCTGGGAGGCCTGGGAGAGAAAGCACCTGGACTCGGGGGGCAGGAGACTGCAGACGCCGTAGCCCTTCGCTGTTCTTCAAGGTGGTGGCCCGGGAGCCAGGAAAGCCCCCCCCCCAGCAGTCTTCTCCCCTGTCTCTCTCAGAGAGGCTTTGGGGGGGCTTCTGGTTCTGTTTTACTTTGTGCCCTTGGCATTTCCAGCTGGCCCCTACCTACCCCTGCTCTGTCCTCGCGTCCCCCCTTTTCTCAGAGGCCTTCGTACTCCCACCTCCCCCTTCTCTCCCTCCTCTTTCCCATTTCAAAAAATGAGAAGAAAAAGAAAGGGAGGAGAAGGCCCCCCAGGGTGGCCTGAGCAGTGTTCTCTGACCCTCCTGACTCCCGACGACGGGGCTCCCGCCGAGCCTGGCTTCGGCCTCCCCGGGGTCCAGGCCAGGGGCCACACCACCAACTGCTGCATTTGTTGTATTTTTTTAAGTTGAAATGGATGGAGTTAACATTTTTATTGTAATTTTAGCCTTAGTGTGTGGGGTTTGTCCCTTTGTTGTTAGCTGTGTACAGAACTTGTATCTTTTTTTTTTCCCTTTTTTTTTTTTTTTTTACTTTTTCTCCTTGGCTAAGCCTTGGCAGGGATCTTTCTGGAGGAAAAGCTGGTGGCAACTAGGGCAGAAGAGGTGTGGAGTCTCCCCTTGGGCCTACCGTTGGCGGCCCAGCCCGGTCGCCTCTTGCTGGCTCCTGCCGGGCCCTAGGTCCCAGGCCCTGCCCCTCTGCACGGGCATGCAGGAGGGGCGGGCAGTCGGACCTCACAGCCGTGGGTGAGCAGCTCCATGCCGCGCCAGAGGGGCTTCGGAGGGACAGCCCAGAGGGGAGGTCTGCTCGAGGCGCTCTCCGCCCCAGGCCCCCTCCTTGGCCCCCTCCACACAGTCACCCTCTAGGCAGAGCTGGAAGGAAAGGGGGGGTGGCACCCCACAGAGGCTGGGGTGGAAGTGCGCCACCGGCTCTCCCAGTTGACGCTGTAGCGGACTGAGGCCTGCCTAGGGGACTCTGCCTGGCGTGACAAATGAGACCACTTTTGCCCCCGCCCCGCTTCAGGCGCCGAGCAAGGCTCGCAGGCAGGTCCCGGGGAGGATGGCCACTGCGTGTCCTTGCAGACTCCATCTGCCCTGGAGGCGCGGCTGTGGCGGGGGCCTCCCGGCCTCCAAGGCCCCTGCAGCAGCCCGTGTCCTCCGGTGTGTTGTATTATAGTATATTTCGCTGTGGAAACTGTCACGTTTAGTCGCCCCGGAGCCCACTCGCCTGGTCCCGTCGTTGCCGCCCCCTCCGAGCGCCCTTGACTCTGAGCAGTAGCCCGTCATCTATTGTAGAGTAACCCGTGACTCGGTGACCACAGTGCGATGTCGTTTTGTGCTATTTTGAACAATTAAAAAGACTTTTTTTGAAATGGCTGTTGTCTCTCGCTGTGTCCAGCTCTCCTGTGGGAGATGGCCTCCCCCTTCCCAGGCTCACCAAGCCCCAGGGGAACCTCTTGCTCGCAAGGCCCCATGACAGCAGATTCTGCTTCCCGATCGCCTCCAAAGGACCGGGCATCGGGGACGATGCCGCCACGCCTGGGGCCCGGGGCTCTCTGGGCAGGGTGCCGCTGATCTGTCCAGGGACCTGCCGCCTCCCAGCTGGAGGACAGGGGACTGGGGCAAAGGCTGATCACCAGTGGCGGCCTCCTGGAATGGGCTGGGGAAGAGCTGAGCTGAGCTTGCCCCCGAGCTTGGGCTGAGAAAATCCCGTGTTGCCCTCAGGTGTGGTTCTGTGTCACACTCAGCAGGCACGGAACGTCGGGGTCCGTCTTGCACTAATCAGGACTGGCGGTCCTGCTGTGGGGGGCCGGGTGTGGGGTACCACGTGGGTGGGTGGGTTAGATGGACTGAATTAGAGCTGAGTGCAAACCAGCCACGAGGCCTACAGAGGCTGGGGTGACAACCTTGGTGCCTATGGGGCCCCAAAGGGAGCAGCACGCTTCCTTCTTTGCGACACCTCTGTCGCCCACCCTTCCTTTCCCATCAGTCTGGTGCCAGAAGCCCCTCCCCGTGTGTGTGTGTGTGTGTGTGTGTGTGTGTGTACATGCGCGCTCATGCACATGTGTGCAGAGATGTGAGCTCAGCTTGAAGACAGATCCACTCACTTTACCACGCCTAAGGTGGAGGGTTCCTAGTAGGCCAGTCCTGTATGCAGACCTTGACACTGGTCGCAGCTCTGCCTTCCTCACCCTGACGGAGCCCGGCCCTGGGGGTGGGGTGGGGACAGGCAGGTGACCTTCAGAGGGGAGCAGCAGGAGCCCTGCGGCCCATCTGGCCAGTGTGGGGTTGGCTCCAGAACAGGAGGGGCCTGTGCAGATAGGCGGTCACGTGATACGAGGCCAGGTGCACACAGTCTGGGCCAGGTGGAGGGTCCTGCCCACCCGCCCCTCCCCGCCCTGGCCTCAAGGCTGCCAGCATGGCCCTCTGGATGTGGAGGCCCACAGGCTGCTCTCAACATCGGGCCTGGAGTCTGAACAAATTCCTTCCTGAGCCTTGGGGAAGAGAGGCCCCGTCCACTGTACCCAGGCCCAGGGGGCCCACCCCTATGAACCTTAGAACCTTCCACATGCCAAGGCTTGTCCTGAGCTAGGCCTGAGGACAGAGCACAGGGAGGAAGGGAGAGCTGGACAAGAAGGGATCCCAGAGATAACATGAGCAGGGCGGGCAACACAAGCCCGGCACGGCCCTCGGAAGCGTAAGCCACAATGGAGGCTGGAGGGGACACAGGAAAGCCAGTGTCCACCTACCTGCTGGCCAGGCAGGTCACTCTTATGCCAGCATCGCAAAACGGAATTATTTGGCGGGTGGGTTAGCCCGTACATAGCAGGGGCCTGGAAGGAGGCAGTGACGGTGACCCCAAAGACCGGCGCCCAACAGTGGGAGCCAACCCAGAAGTCCAAGCTCCCTGGACCATGCTGGGCACGCAGGGCCCCTGGACTATTCCCTCCCTGGGTTTCTGCCCTTGGCAGGGAATGTGGGGAGATAGCTCAGCTAACCTTCCCGGGAGCATCTGATCTGGTCAGACAGTCACAGAGCCAGGCTAAGCAGATCTGGGTGCTGGAAGACAGGCCTGGCCAACCTGGGGGGCCTGAGGGCAGACTAGTCTTCAGACACCCACTCTTACCTGCCGTGCAGCTAGATGGTTTGAGTGAAGAAGTCAGCACCCACCAGCAGTCGCGGGCCACTGAGCGCTGACGCCCTCAGCGAGCAAGGAATTCATCACAGGACTGCCACCTGTGGGGGTTCAGGTCAGAGGGGGGCCCCTCTCCAACTGCACCTGTGCCCCGCGGCCTTGGCCTTGCAGGAACCCCGGGGGTGGGGGGGTCGCGGTTTAAGGCGGGGAGAGGTGGCTGGGGTGGAAAGTCAGCCCCGCCTCGCCTGGGGCACCCGGCCAGCTCTCCGTCCCCACCAGGCGGATCTGGAACCCGGCGTGCACAGCAGAGGCCAGCGCGGAGCTCCACGGACTGCGGCGCCGGGGTCGCCGCCAAGCCGGTCGTGGGCGGAGCCGGGGTGTGGAGGCGGGTCTGCGCGGCCGACAGACCCCGCCCCGTCGCGGGCCCCGCCCCTGGACCCTGCTGAATCCCCGGAGGGGGTGGGTGGGGCGCGGCTGGGTCAGCTGAGTGGCGGTCACGGGACCGCGACCAGCTCTCTCTGGCTTCCTGGCAGTGAGGGTGAGCGGGGGTCTCCGAGTGTGGCAGCCCGGTGGTGGGCCCCGTGGTGGGGGGCTGTCCTGAGGGTCCCAGGGACAGTGGGGACAGCCCTGAGGCTGGTCTGGTGCCAGGGAGCAGCCCCGCACAGGGTCGGGGAGAACCCAGAGGGCTGGGTGCCAAGGCCAGGGGGAGGCGGCCCTGGGGCTGGCTCCAGCCGGGGGCCCCCTGGGGCACACAGGAGCCCACTGAGGAGATGGGACCTGGGAAGATGGGAGGTGCGTGGGGGGAGCTGTGGCTCCACGTCAGGGGTTCCCCCAGGACATGGAGAAGGAACGGGAGCGGCTGCAGGCCTGGAAGGAGCTTGTGGGGCAGGAACTGGACCGCGTGGTGGCTTTCTGGACGGCGCACTCCCACGACCAGGAGTATGGGTGCGCCTCACCTTTCCTCCCAGGACCCTTGGCGGGCTCTTCGCACCCCACCCCACCCCGGGCCCCCACCTCACTCAGATCTGCTGGTCCCCAATGGGGCAGTGGGTCCCCGGATAGGGCGTGCGCAGGCAGTTTCCCCCTTTGCTAAGGTGCCATCCGCCCCACAGGGGCTTCTTCACGTGCCTGGGCCGAGACGGGCAGGTGTACGATGACCTCAAGTATGTCTGGCTGCAGGGGAGGCAGGTAGGCCTGCAGGTCACCCGGGGGATGGCGCTGGAGTGGTCTTGGCCTGTCCTCCCTCTGTCCATACGCGCACAAGGCCCATCCCGTTTTCCCCCCACGGGGGAGGCACTCGCACTCAGGACTCCCCTCCTCTCAGCCTGGAGCACCCCACTACTCTCTGCTGAAGCCACGTGCCCCCGCTCCCCACCAGGTGTGGATGTACTGCCGCCTGTTCCGCAAGTTCGAGCGCTTCCACCGCCCTGAGCTTCTGGACTCGGCTAAAGCAGGTGTGCCCTTCCTGCCCCATGCCCAGAGGCCTTGCCAGTGTTCTTGGTGGGGCCTGCGTGCCCAGTCCTAGAGGAGCCTGCACTTGGGCTGAGCCAAGCGGCCGAGAGGCGATCCGGGAGGCGTCTTAGCAGCAGGGAAGGGCCTGGGGATGTTCAAAGGTGGGCGGGAAAGGTGGGTCGTCACCTGAGTTCTGCCATGCCAACCTCCCACCCACCAGGTGGTGAATTTCTGCTGCGTTATGCCCGAGTGGCACCTCCCGGGAAGAAGTGCGCCTTTGTGCTGACGCGGGACGGCCGCCCGGTCAAGGTGCAGCGCACCATCTTCAGCGAGTGCTTCTACACCATGGCTATGAACGAGCTGTGGCGGGTCACAGGGGAGGCGCGGTACCAGGTGCCTGGGGGGACGGCGCCCTGGGGTCGCCTGCCCCATTGCCATCCGAGGCGTCCCGGGCCAGGGGCCAGCCCCTCCCCTGCTCGGTCTTCCTCTCTGCCGCCACGGCCCTGGGGCACCCCTCTTCCCTCACTGGATCATCATCATGTGTCTGTGGGCGCTCCTCCCTGACAGTCACCTCTGACGTCCAGCCGCGTGCCCCCAGAGAAGCCCCGGGCGGCCCCTGTGCCTCCTCCTTGGGACCTTTTGTGCTTTCAGACCCCTCCAACTGCTTGGGAGTAGCTGCCCTCCCTCCACCCAGCCTGGGAGCCCCAGAGGCAGGGGGTGGGGGGAAACTGGCCTGACCCCCAGCAGCCAACCCGGGGCCAAGCCCAGAGGAGGTCTTTGGTGGTGTCCTGCCAGTGCGGGGGAGGACAGGGCTCTCCCACCCCAGACCCAGTCCTGGGGGGCCCTGCAGGCCCAGACCTGGGGGAGCAGACCACACGGGATGGGACCCCGTGAGGTGCAGCCTCAGCCTGAGGTGCCCCTTGCCCGTCTGCCTCCCACCCAGAGGGAAGCGGTGGAGATGATGGATCAGATTGTCCGCTGGGTGCGGGAGGACCCGTCGGGGCTGGGCCGGCCCCAGCTCCCGGGGACCCCTCCCTCAGAGCCCATGGCGGTGCCCATGATGTTGCTGAACCTGGTGGAAGAACTTGGGGAGGCGGACGAGGTGTTGGCGGGCAGCTATGCAGAGCTGGGGGACTGGTGCGCCCAGAGGCTGCTGCGGCACGTCCAGGTAGGGGCACGAGGCTGACACGGAATTAGACAGGGCCCGGCAGCTGAAGGGCAGGGCCACCCCCCTCCACCCCTTGGGGCGCCTCCTCCGCCTCCCCGATGGAGCTGGGCCCTGCTGGCTCCTTGTGTAGACTCACTCGGGACACACGGGCGGCTTTGGCCGGGGTCAGGGGCGGCCAAGACCCTGGGGGAGCCATGCTCACCCACCCCTACGGGGCAGAGAGCCTGTGGGCCGCAGGCTGAGGGAGGGCCCCGAGCCCCGGAGTAGGACGCATGGCCACGCAGGCCCCTGTGGCAGCCACGGCAGCCCAAACGTGCAGCGGGGGAGGGAGGCTTCCCGGGGCACAGTCGAAGGCCGGACCACCCACTCGCCGTGCCCTCAGCGGAATGGCCAGGCTGTGCTGGAGAACGTGGCGGAAGATGGCGAGGAGCTTTCTGGTTGCCTGGGGAGACTGCAGAATCCAGGTGAGGGGCAGGCAGGGCCGACACAGCCGCGGTCTGGGGCTTCCACCCTCCGTCAGGATCAGGCAGAGAAGGGGACAGGCTGCCGGGGGTGGGGGGCAGCAGCAGGAGAGACTGCAGGGACTACCAGCCAACAGGCCAGCCTTCTGCGCGGGGTGGCCGCGGGGGCGGGGTGTTCAGAGCAGCTCCCCGCTGTGAATAGTGCAGAGGTCGAGCCCCCTGCTTGGGGTGGGGGAGCTGTGCCTGCCTCCCCCCCCCCCCCCCCGCCCTCACCAGGTCACGCACTAGAAGCCGGCTGGTTCCTGCTCCGTCACGCCCTCCGGAAGGGTGACCCTGAACTTCGAGCCCACGTTATTGAAAAGTTCCTGTTGTTGCCTTTCCGCTCTGGGTGGGACCCTGCGCACGGGGGCCTCTTCTGCTTCCAGGACGCTGATGGCCTCTGCCCTACCCAGGTGGGGGCCGCACTGGCCTGTTCCAGGCTCTGCCCAGAGAGGTGGGAGCTGTCGTCACCCACTTTAAAAGGGGGTCCGGGCTCCGCACGGGGCCCTACCCCCGAGTGGGCCTGGTGGAAGTGACAGGGCTGCGTCCAACCCCATGACCCCACTCTGGACCTCGGTGCACAGGAGGCATGGGCGGAGCAGCCCCTGTCTGTGAGACAGTGTCTCTCCAGGTGGCTCTAAGGTGTCGGCAGGGGGAGCAGGTTTGCTCCGATGGGGTCTTTGCCTCCGACTGTGCCTGGGCCCTGCAGACTTGCACGGCAGGGCTGTCCCTGCTTCCGGCGGGAGCTGTTCGCAGAGGACTTTAGGCAGACTGGAGAGGTAGACCAGGTTTTGACTCCCTGGGCTTAGAGAGCCCGTCCTGCCCCTGACCTTTAGGGGGCTGCTTGGGGTGCATTGGGCCAAGGAGCTCGTCCCATTTTGAGGAGCCATTGAGACCCTAGAGATCTCCATTCCATAACTAAGCTACAAGTACTTGGCCAGTTGGGGTGACTGAGGACCTGAAGGCTGGGGTCCGCTGTGGAGGCTGAGACGCCCGCCTCTGCTCTCAGCTGGAGTGGGCCATGAAACTGTGGTGGCCGCACAGTGAGGCCATGATCGCCTTCCTCATGGGCTACAGCGACAGTGGAGACCCTGCCTTGCTGCGCCTCTTCTACCAGGTGGCGGAGTACACCTTCTGCCAGGTGAGCTGGCTTGGCAGGGGCATGAGGGGAGGCAGCAGGCCAGCCTGGCGGGGCTGGGGAGGCTGCTGAACCTGGGGGGCTGCGGAGGCTGCTAAGCCTGGGGGTGCTGGGGGAGGCTCAGCCGCGCAGCCTTCTTCCTTCCTCACTGGGCACAGTTCCTCTGCTGGTCTGAGAGTTCCTGGAGGTCTGGCCTCCCGCCCCTGCCCCCTAGAGGTCAGATTGCAGTGGGGGGTGGGGCAGACCGTAAACAAGTAAGCCAGCCCACATAGAGACCTAGGCAGAGCTGTGAGCTGTGGAAGGTGGAGCGGGGTCGGGGCCTGGGGGGCAGGTCGGAGGGAACAGTGCGGAAAGCAAGACTTCCTGGTTTGATGTGGGCCTCTGGGGACGGGCAGTGAGGCCGGTGCCTGGCGCGTTGGGCGCTGCAGCGGGCACAACAGTGAGAGTGGTCTCACGGGAGGAGTCTGGGCTGGCCACCGTCTTAAGAATAAAGACCATGCTGCCAGCCCGGACCTGGTCAGCCTTGGGGCGGAGGAGGGGAGGAGGAGGAAGCTAGGAGGACCCAGCAAAGGAGGCAAGGATTAGCCTAGAATTAGCAGAGAGGCTGGACGGGAACTGCCGGCTGGATGAGGCGGGGGCGCAGAGCGAAGGGCCCGAGCGCCGCGAGGAAGGTTCACTCCAGGTGAAGCCCCCTTGCCTCGCGCCCCCACCCCCCCACCGCGACTGTAGCCCGGGCGCTTATGCTGGGGCCTCGGGGGCTCTGAAAAGTGGGGCCACTCCACTTTCGTAGCTGAAAGCCATGATGTGCTTCCATTATGACTGGCGGCTGCGAGCGGCGGTGGGCTTGGAAGCACTCGACTTCGTTCTGGTTGAAATCCCAGACGTGTCAGTAGGACTCGCCATCAGCAGCCGCTGCGGACATGGCGCGCGGCCGCCACGCGCAAACCCAGGAGGCGTGGGACCCGGGCTGTATGTAGAGGTCGAGGACATTTGCGAGGAGGTGTGGGGGAGGTGACTGCTTTCGACTCTAGAAAGTGAAATGTGAGGAGTACGTGTCACTGCGCTGGAGACGGCACTCAACACTTCCCGGAGCTAGCGGCCGCGTGGTGAGCCGCGCCTAACCAGGACGAGAACCCAAAAGGCCAGAAGTGAGACACTCGAGGAAAACCTGGACAGGAAAACAGTTCCATGCTCCCGTCTCTTCCTGTATGGGATCAAGTAGCGGGACAAGAAGTGATGGTGTGGACGGTGTAACTGAAGGAGGGTGCACGAGTCTCACGATCGTGGGAGAGAGAGCGGGCAGGCTGCGTCCTAGGGAGGCTGGACAAGGACGCTTTGGCGAGAGGCTTTGATGTCACTCGTTTCTTCCACGGTTTTCTGAGAAGGGGTCCACTGAAGCCTCGCCGGGGTGGGAAGATGGGCCTAGAGCAGGACTCAGGGAGCCTGGGGGCACGGACCCGCCTGCGCAGCAGAGGTGTGGGCAGAAGCCTGCCTGTGGGTGCGGGCAGCTGGGTGGGGGCGTGTGAGTGACTGTTACAAAAGGGAGGGCGGTGCCCTCTTTGGTCCTCTCTTCACACCAACTTTATCTAAGTGCGACTTCATACACTGAGCCCTCAGCTCGCTGGGGGGACTGGGATAAGGATGTACAGTCGTTGCACTGCCAGCGCGGTGCAGCTGTGGAATCTTTCTGTATTCCGGGAGGGGGTGTCTTTCTAGTCCTTGCTGTGCCCCTTACCCCCCAGGCATGCTGCCACCCCCCAGGGCCATCCAAATGCAGGCTGCCCGCTGCCTCCCAGGACCTGCGGAGAGAGGGAAAGGAAGCCTCTGGCCTTCATCTCTGTCCAAGCCTTCGCTTGGGCTTAAGAGCAGTGATTCGGGAGCCCCCCTTCCTGGGCGCAGAGCCCCCGCAGCCAGGCAGCGGGGACAGTGAGCCGCCCGCCGCCCCCCCCCCCCCCCGCTCTGAGCTTTGGCAGCTGGCCCGCTCCGGCTGGCGCTGCTGCCACGGCGTCCCTGTCATTGCAGTTTCGCGATCCCGAATTTGGGGAATGGTTCGGCTACCTGAACCAGGAGGGGAAGGTCGCCCTCACCGTCAAAGGGGGCCCTTTCAAAGGTGAGTGCAGCGGGGGACGGGGCGGGGCCGCTGGGGCGCGGGCACGATGCTGCGCCTCTCCCCACAGGCTGCTTCCACGTCCCTCGGTGCCTGGCGATGTGCGAGGAGCTGCTGGACGCCCTGCTGAGCCGCCCCGCCCCGGCTCCCGCGCCCCCGCCCGCCGCCCCGTCCCTCGCCCGCCGGGGCACGGAATAAAGTTGACCCTTCCCGCCGTGCGTGTGTGCGCGTGTCTGTGGGTTCGCGGGAGGGGTGGCCGCCGCTGGACCGGGGGGCACCCGCTCGCCCCGATGTCGCCCGCCGGGCCAGCACCCCTCCCCCAGCGACCCCAGGCGCCGGAGCCAGCTTGGGCGCGGTGGCGGGGGGCGCCCCGCGCCGCGTCCCACGCGCTCCGCCCCGCCCGCGGCCCGCCCCGCGCATTGGCCGAGCGGCCGGGAGGGCGGGCCCGGTGGCCGCGCACTTCCGCCCGGTGGCCGGGCCGGCGCGCACCGCCTCTTCCGCCGCCGCCCCCGCGAGCCCGGCCCCAGCTCCCGTCGCAGCCCCGGCCCGGCCGCCCGGCGACCCTTCGGAGCGCGGCGGCCGCCGACTGCGCGATCGCGACCCGTGGGGCCGCGAGCCCGCCGCCGTTATGAACATCCGCAATGCGAGGGTGAGCGCCGGCGCCCGCGGCCGTCCGCGCCGCGTGGGTGCGGGCCCGGGCCGCGTGCGCATGCTCGCGAGGGGCCCCTCCGAGCCCGGGCCGGCCGTGGGCGCGCGGGGCCGAAGGCCCGGGGCGGGGGCGCCCCACCCGGAGAGGAGGCCGCGGGCGCGCGGGGGCCCCGCCGCGGACCCTCGCTCGCTGTGACGCTGGCATCTGCGGGAGGGGCCCGGCCGCCGCCCGGCGCTCCCGTTCGCCCCGGAGCCGGGCCAGAGCCCCGACACACACGCGCCGCGCCGGGACGGGGGGGAGCAGACGGCCGGGAGCGGGGTTCTGGCCCGACCGCGGCCTACCGCGTCGCCGCGCCTGACCGTGTGCCGCCCTCCCGGCAGCCAGAGGACCTGATGAACATGCAGCACTGCAACCTCCTGTGCCTGCCCGAGAACTACCAGATGAAGTACTACTTCTACCACGGCCTCTCCTGGCCCCAGGTGGGCGGCCTGGGAATTGGGGTCGGGGACGGGCCCTAGGAAGAGCCGGCCTCGGTGGCCTTGGCGGACGGCGCCCGGATCCGGGTGGACGAGGCTCCCTTGTTTTCAGCTGGGGCGGAGCAGGGGCGGTGAGTGCCGAAAGGACAGGACAGGAGAGACCCGAATCGGGGGGTGTCGAGTACGGCAGGGGTGGGGGCGGGGTTGCTCCCGCATGCGTCTTTTGGGCGCAGCACAGGGCTTGGGCCTCCGGGACTCGCCCCCCCGCGGCGGTGCACTGGCAGCAGGTGTCTGCGGCTGACAGATCGCTGCTCTGACCCCTTCTCCTCCGCCCACCAGCTCTCCTACATCGCTGAAGATGAGAATGGGAAGATTGTGGGGTACGTCCTGGCCAAAATGTGAGTTGCCACAGAGGGCAGGGGAGCACCCACACCCCACCTGTCTGGTGGATGCTGCCTGGGTGGGTTTTTTGTGTCTTTTTTCAGCTAATTACTAGATTTTTTTTTTTTTCGTTCACTGATAGGTACACAGGAAAACTGAGCGGCAAGTCTCCTTGCCACGCCAGGCCTCCCTTCCCCTCCCCATTTCCTGTTAGTTTTATTTATTTATACAAGATTTAATTATTTATTTACACAAGCACTGGGGACAGTCAGAAGCGCGGGAGGGTGAGAGAATCCACCAGAGCCAGAGCGGGGAGCAGAGCAGGCAGAAGGACCGAAGTACACTGCTGAGGGAGCAGCGGGCGGCAGGAGAGGTCTGCGCCCCATGCGGGACCCTCCTCCAGTGGCCGGGGAGCAGCCGGGGATCGAACCGGCGCCACAGAGGCTGCGGGCAGCTTCGCAACCCAGTGCTCAACCGCTGCGCCACCGGGGAGGCCCCCCCATTTCCTGTTAGTAACATCCTGGGGGCCATTGGTCTTCTGCCATTGACCTGGGCTTGCTATATTGTTCTGAACACCACACACCACTTTGCTTCAGTGTTTGTGTTCTGGTGGAGTCTGTGCATTGGGACGAATGTATCACTGAGAGCGCTCTCTGCTCTAAGACTTCCCTGTGCTGCACCCCCCGCTGATCTCTTTGACGGTCTCCGAAGTCACCCCTTTTCCAGAATGTCATGTAGTTGGAACCGGAAAGTACACAACCTTTTCAGAGTGCCTTCTGCATTTAGGTGGAGCAGGCCCCCATGACTCCAGGGTCTGCTAACTCACCATCACTTAGCAATGTGCGTGCACTCTGCACGCGGCTTTTGCCTGCTGCGTAGGGTTTTGAGGGCCCCTGCTCCCCCCCAATGCCAGGTCTCTCCTTTCTTCTCACTCTAGGGAAGAGGACCCAGATGATGTGCCCCACGGCCATATCACCTCCCTGGTGTGTAGGACCTCCCTGGGTGCAGACGGGGTGGAGGTGGGGTTGGTGGGGGCAGCCCAAGGTCCCAGCCCCTGCCCACCCTTCTCCTGCCAGGCTGTGAAACGTTCCCATCGGCGCCTGGGCCTGGCACAGAAGCTGATGGACCAAGCCTCCCGAGCCATGATAGAGAACTTCAACGCCAAATACGTCTCCCTGCATGTCAGGAAGAGGTGGAAGCTGGGGCCAAGGGGAGGGGGGTAGATACGGTCTTCATGTGGGTTGTGGGTACCCTGGCTTTTGGAGGCCCAGGCTGTGGGGTTAGTGGGGTGGGGGCCGAGGAGGAGGGCGGGGCCTGGACACAGTGTCCCTCCCTGGCTGAGCCTGCAGCTCAGCAGCACCTTGTTCCCTGCAGTAACCGAGCCGCGCTGCACCTCTATTCCAACACCCTCAACTTCCAGTAAGTAGACCAAGATTTTTCTAGTGGAGTGCGGGTGGGCCCAGGTCTGGCTCCTCCTGGCTCCTGACAAGGACTCAGCTGCCTTCCAGGCAGGGGGGCAGGGTGACCAGAGGAAAGACTTTGAATCAACGGAAATGGGGAGCAGACTATGAATCTTAGCCACCGCCTGGGCTCTTGTCCACTTGGTGGTGACGCATCTCTTTGCTGTCGCTGGCCGGGGCATGTTGTCATACAGGAGCCCATTTGGTGCCTCTCGCTTAGGGGAGGAGCAAGCGCTGCATGCTGTCTGGGCTAGTGGAAGGGCAGCATGGGGAAGGGCACGTAGGCATTTCAGGGAAAAGGTTTTAGCAAAGACCTGGGAGTAGCGAGATGAGGGCCTAGGACGTGAACAGGAGCTCATGCCCTCAAAGCATCTGAGTGGGCCTGGGAGGAAGGAGGGTGTGGAGCTACAGGTGGCCGGGCTGGGTGCCAGCCCGTGCAGCCATGTTGCCAGGAGCTGTGGCCTCTTCCCCTCAGTTTCCAAGCTTTCAGGAGGGTCAGGGGCCAGGCCACCTGAGTGACTGCCAAGCTTAGGGACCACTGTGTGTGCTCAGTGACAGGAGCTGGCAGGAAGGGCCAGCAGCAGCAGCAGGGGCAGTTCTCGAGTGCCTCGGGAGTCCTAGTGGCTAAAGACAGGTTTGCTCAGGGCATCTGTGAGCCCAACACAGGATGGGCAGAGTCTGGTGGAGCGTGGCTGTGCCCACTACACAGCACAGAAAGCCATTTGGAATTGAGGTTCAGGGACTGCTTGTGGGGTCCTGTGGAGAAGATCCTGGGCTTCAGTCAGGTGGGGCGTGAGGAGGGAGGGCTAGCTGGAAAGAGCAGCGGCTCTGGGCTGGGCATCAGAGGAAGTGTCTGGTGGTCAACACTTCTGGGGTCTTGGGGGGCAGGCCGCCCAAGTCTGTGCACAAACCTACTAGTGTAGGCCTGGCCCTGAGCTGCTTGGGTCAGGGGCCAGGCCACCTGAGTGACTGCCAGGCTTAGGGACCGCTGTGTGTGCTCAGTGACAGGAGCTGGCGGAAGGGGAAACCACAGAAACAGCTCCTGGGTGGCCAGCTTAGCGGGGCAGGATGGTGACAGGCTGGAGGTGGGGGTCGAAACACTGGGCACTACTTACTGCTGGACAGCAGAGGGCTGGAAACAGAGCTTGCTGTCTCTGGAGGGGCGGGGGGGGTGCGGTAGGGAGATGACGCGAGGTGCTCTAGGCTGAGGAGCATTTCCTGATGTGGCTCATCTCCCTGCGCCTAGGATCAGCGAGGTGGAGCCCAAGTACTACGCAGATGGGGAAGACGCGTATGCAATGAAGCGCGACCTCACCCAGATGGCTGAGGAGGTGAGAGCCTGGGCCGGGGTGGGCCCTGCAGGGGGCTGGCAGGGCAGGTGGGGAGGCCCCTGGTGGCCGATTGAGCTGGACTGGGTGCCAGCCCGTGCAGCCACGTTGCCAGGAGCCGTGGCCTCGTCCTCTCAGTTTCCAAGCTGTGAGGTGGGGGAATGGGCACTCCCCTAGGCTTTGAAGAAGGCCATGCGCCCAAGATCATATTCTCTGAGAAAGACACCTGTACCACCCCAGGAGTGGCAACAGGTGGAGGAGGTGGCGCCCTGAGGCCAGGGGGTTCTAGGGAGATCCAGCCATCCAGAGGATCAGGGGTGAGCCAACAGTGGGCTGAGGAGAAAGTTGAGGTTCTCTAGGAGACTCCTTGGAATGCCAAGATCATTCAAAGGACTTTGCAGCAGCCTGGGGGAGGGTGGTGTGAAACCCCTCCCCCACCCCACACCTCCCGCATGGGTGAGGGGATGGGCCCAGGGGTCAGAGCCAGGATTCAAGCCGGTCTCCCAGCCCAGCCCTGTTTCCTGCCCCAGCCTTGCCTATACCTTCACCCCCCCATTGAGCGACCGGTGCAGCCTCCTGGCATGGGCAGCTAGAGAGGGCCGCTGTGGTCCAGAGACTTAGGCGCTGTCTCTTCCCTCCTGCTCCCCTGGGCTCCTGGTGACAGCTGAGGCGGCACCTGGAGCTGAAGGAGAAGGGCCGGCACGCGGTGCTGGGTTCCATCGAGAACAAGGTGGAGAGCAAGGGCAGCGCGCTTCCGAGCCCGGGAGAGGCCTGTGCTGAGGAGAAGGGCCTGGCGGCTGAGGACAGCGGTGGTGACAGCAAAGACCTCAGTGAGGTCAGCGAGACCACAGAGAGCACCGACATCAAGGACAGCTCAGAGGCCTCAGACTCGGCCTCCTAGAGCCTGCGCTCTCTTCTCCCTGCCCTGGCCTGCCCCGCCCTGTCCCACCTCACAGGGTTTCCCAATAAACTTCACCCAGTGGCCTCGGGGAGTTTGTGCATGCAAGTGTGCACCTTTGAGGGGTGCATGCCTCCCTCTGGCCCCTCAGTGTCCCTGTGGATGCGAATCTGGAATCCTTTGGGCACAGTATGTCCTGCCCAGCCCAGGGGAGAAGAGGGGAGCCTTGTCAGGGCTTGGGGGTAGGGTTCCCAAGTCTGATGGGCTTAGTATCTTTGGGCCCTGGGGAAGGAGGCTCTGGGTGCTGCCAGTGACCCCCACGCTGTTAGGCACTCTGCCACTGCCTTGCTGGGCTCCACATGCATAACTCCACTTGCTCATGGGACTGGTTACAGGTGTCCTGGCTGGGGAGTGACCGGAGTGGCAACCCTAACTTCACCCTGTGAGGTTAGTTCTGAGTGTTTGACATACTCTTGAATCTACTCCATAACCTAAGCCTTTATTTGAAAATAATACTTCAGTACAGTTTAGGGCTTACAGGAAAGGTGAGCAGTCAGTGGCAGAGTCCCTGGGGTCTGATAGTAACATTCTGCATTAAGTGTTGCATTTGTTGCAATTGTTGAGCCAATACTGATAAGTGGTTTTTATTTTTTTTAGAATTTTTATTTATGCATACAAGAACTGGGGTTCTTGACCAGAGCGGGGGAGGGGTAAGAGGATTCACCAGACAGTGGGGAGCAGAACAGGCAGACTGACTGAAATCCACTGCTGAGGGGAGCAGCCGGGGAGACAGGAGAGGTCTGCTGCACCATGTGGATCGGTCACCCCCTGGCTGGGGACTGAACTGTGCTGCAGTGGCTGCTGATAGCTTCATAGTGCTGAGATTTAACCCCTGCACCACCAGGGAGGCCCTGGGGTTTTTTTTTTTTTTAATGGTGAAAAAAATGTGCATTTAAAATTGGCCAGAGCCTCCCTGGTGATGCAGGGGGTTAAGATGCAAATTGTGAAGCTGTCCACAGCCTCTGCAGCACGAGTTAGATCCCTGGCCAGGGATCTACCCACATGGTGCAGCAGATCTCTTCTGTCTCCCCCGCTGTTCTCCTCAGCAGTGCATTTCGTCAGTGTGCCTGTTCTGTTCCCCACTGTCTCTGGTGAATCCTCTCACCCCTCCCCAACACCTCTGGCCTGTACCCCAGTTCTTGTATGCATAAATAAATCTTAAAGTTGGCCAGCTGGATTTAGTTTAGAGGATTCCAATTTTGGGGGCAACACCCAACGCATGCTAGTTGGAGCCAGTCGAACCTGTGCTCGCTCTCTGTCAGATGTGATCAGGGCATTGAGCTTGGCCACCCACATTTTTTTTTTTACACGCACATTTTTCTAAAAGTTATTTACAAGGGGAATGAGAAGAGGGAGAGAGCCCGCATTATTATTAACTACGGCCCAAGGTTTCATTTCCCTTTGTGTTGTACATTCTCTGGGTTCTTTTTTTTTTTTTAGAAAGATACTTTTTTTAATTTTTTAAAAATTATTTATTTATTTATTTATTTATACAAGCACTGGGTACAGTCAGAAGCGCGGGAGGGTGAGAGAATCCACCAGAGCCAGAGCGGGGAACAGAACAGGCAGACTGACGAAATACACTGCTGAGGGGAGCAGAGGGCACGGCAGGAGAGGTCTGCGCGCCATGTGGGACCCTCCTCCGGTGGCCGGGGAGCAGCCGGGGATCGAACCGGCGCCGCAGAGGCTGAGGGCAGCTTCGCAACCCAGCGCTCAACGGCTGCGCCACCGGGGAGGCCCAAAAGATACTTTTTTTTATAATGAAAAATTTTTGAATTATTTATGCATACAAGAAGTGGGGTACAGGCCAGAGGTTTGGGGGGGCGAGAGGATTCACCAGAGACAGAGTGGGGAACAGAACAGGCAGACTGACGAAATCCACTGCCGAGGGGAGTAGCGGGGAGACAGGAGAGGTCTGTTGCGCCCTGTAGGTTGCTCCTTGGCCGGGGATCGAACTCGTGCTGCAGAGGCTGCCGACATATTCCTAGTGCGGTGTATTAACCCCTTGCGCCACCAGGGAGCCCCACATTTTCTGGGTTTTGACAGGCGCAGAATGCCTTGTATCCTTCACTGGGCTTTCTTGCCGAACGCTAGAGCTCCGTCTTTGATGGCCTCAGCCTATCCCTAAAATGAACTCCCCAACCTTGCCACCCAGCCCTCCCTGCTGCTGCCGCGCCTCCACTTGCTCCCAGCCCCTGGGACTGGCCGCCTCAACCTCCCAGCGGGGCTCAGCACTGCCGAGCTGTCACGGCCTTCAGCCTCTGCTGCTACAGAAGGCAAGGCACGCCCCTGCTGGGCTGAATAATTCCTCACCCCCTGGAGCCGGGTTGTCTTGGCTGGCTCCTGGCACGTGACCCACCGGCCGGCGCGGAAGCCAAGGCTGGGGCGGGAGGGGGGGCCGGGCCCGGGAAGACGCGCTTGCGCGCTCCTGCTGGCGCGCCCACTCGGAGAGCCTCGTTCTGATTGGCTCCGATCGCAAGCTGTGGGGGCGGGGGAGGCGCTGCGCCCCGCCCCGCGCGCCCGGCGGCAGTCCCTTCCGGTTCGCAAGGCGCGGCGGGGCTCCGTTCCAGGCTCTGATTGGCCGGCGGCGGCGGGACGGCCCCGCGCGGGGAAGTGTCCGGCGAGCGTGCGCAGTGCGCCGGCCGCGCCCCAGCTCTGGGGTAAGGAGCCTCGGCGTCTCCCGGGGCGCACTCCTGCTCCCGCCCGGCTCTCTGGGGCCCGGCCCGGCCCCGTGTCTGCGTCCTGTTAGGCCCGAGGTGGCTCGGCCGCCCTCCCCGCTCCTGGCAGTTCGCTTTGGGAGCGGAGGCGGGCGCTGCGGCGGGCGGGGCGGGGCTTCGCGGAGGGGGAGCCTTCGGCCCTCCCCGCCCGTGGGCCCAGCACTTCCTCCGCGTCTGCGGCCCCCGCCTTTGGAGAGAGGCGCCTCCCACAATAAGTCTGCGAGCCTCCGCTGCACATTGCGGGTGGGAAAGCGCCCCCTAGGCCTGGTTGGGGGTCCGGAGACGTCTCCCTAGAGGATGCACCTGGGCACACAGGTGCCCACCGTTGATCCCCCGTGCCCCCCATTGTTGAACTCCTGGAAGGCGGGCTTGCGGGAAGATAGGAGGGGCCTCTCCGTCTAGTTCAGTTCATCTGTGCTTGCTCTGACGTACGCGGCTGTAACAGCCTCGCCATTGTCTCCTCTGGCCGGTCCTCCACGCAGCAGACCCGAGCCCATCCTCCTCGTGGCCATCACTCGGGGCCACTTGTCCGCAGGTTGAGCGAGGTCCTGCACATTGGATCCTCACTGTCCTGGCTTTGGGAGTCTTTGAAGGGGAACGTGGCGCTAAGGATGGAGCAAATGTCAAACAAGTGTCCTAAAAGCCAGAACCAATTGCTTGACGTTTTAGCAGGGGCTGGATAGGGCATCACAGGAGTTTCTGAAATATAAAAGGGCCCAGGAGAGCATCTGAAAGTAGGGCCCGAGGAGGGTGCGAGCCCTGTCCCTGGCTCTGTTGCGTGTTTGCGGGATTTCTGGGGACAGGTTAAGGCCTTGATAGAGGGGTAGGGGGCAACGCGTGTTGGGGTTAGCTGAGGAGGGGCGTGGGTTTCTGACACAGGAGCTGTTTCTACGTGGATGCTCCTGTGCATGCTTGGGGAGGGGCAGGAGGCTCCCTGGCCTTGCTGCCGGGCTTGGAGCAGTGCGCTCCTACTGACCTCAGCTCCTGAAGTCCGAGTGTTGGACCTGCCGGAGTCTGGCCCGGTCCCAGGCCTTCAAACCGCAGGCCCGTGGAAACATGGTGTTTCAGAGAAAGGCCTTGGTGCTGGAGGGCGGGGTGGGGGTTGGGGCAGGGAGCTGGAGAGGTATGTTTTCCCCTTCTGGGCAAAAGTGCACAGTTGAAAGGCAGGAAGTGCCTGCACAGTGTCCCCTCGTTCTAGAGCTGTTGGTCGAGGTGATATGTGCCCACGTTTGTCAGAACCTGACTTGCTCCTGCACACACAGGCCTGGACCCCTTGCATTTGTGCCCACAGGCCTTCCCCCTATCCCACCATATGCACCCCAGGGATTTCCTTCCACCAACCGAAGACAGCTGTTCAGCCCGACTTGTCACCTGTTTCCTGCCTTCCCCTTTCCCTGGAAAAAAGCTGTGGCTTTGAGTTGGTGGCAAGGTATGGAGGGAAACCCAAGCACACCTGGATAAGGGAGGCCTGGAGGCTTGCCCCCCATGCTCTCTCAGGCCTTGCCCTGAGGGTGCAGGACAGGGCAGGTGCAAGCTGGAGAGAAAGGAGGCAGAAGAATCTCTTCCGGCAGCAGGAAGTGGTAACCACCTATGGGGAAACAGGCTTGTTCCTCCCCAAGGGTTTGAGCAGAAGGGGAACCTTAGCCGACACCCCTTGCCCGGAGGAAGCCAGGGCTGAGGTTCTGGTCTCCAGTGCTGACCTTTCTTCCCACCCTGGAACTTTCCACTCACTCTCCAGCCTCCTCGTGCTTACCTCAGGAGTGGGACAGTGGAGGGTGCCCCATTTGATGTCCTGGGGAGCTGAGGACAGCAGGCTATCCAGGGGAGTCTAGGGCCTGGAGCAGCCATGGCGTCCCTGCCCACTGGCAGTGAGGGCCAGCCATGTGTGAACGGTGACCACACGGTCTTCTGGGGGCCATTGGCAGGGTCAACTGGGGGTGCCAGCTTGCGTGGCACCTTGGGGCTCCTACACTGGCTCCGGCTGCTTGGCCAACGAATTTGGGCACACCGCAGTCCAGGTGCATGTCCAGCGCCCAGCGCGAGGGGGCGGTGACACCCGGGGACCCCCGATCTGGAGCAGGGCCCGGCCTGAGCCGCCCCGCCCCGTTCCTGCAGCTGCGGGGAGGAGGGGGCGGGGCGGGCCGAGTAGGGTGCTGGCTGCGCAGCCCCAGGTCCCAGCGCCCGGCCGGCTCGGCGCCGCGTGGAGCAGCGGGGCTCGACGGCGCGGCCACTCGGCCGCTATGGCCGCGCACGGGAAGCTGCGCCGGGAGCGGGGGCTGCAGGCCGAGTATGAGGCGCAAGTCAAAGGTGAGAGGGCGCCGGGCTCTCCTGGTCCCGTTCCCTGAGGAGACCCGGAAGGTCGTGGGGCAGCCCTGAAAGTCCCGCGGTTGGCCCCGGGGGCCCACTGCCCTCCCCCAGCGACCTCTGGAGGGGTTGGGGAGAATGCGGCGGGAGCTCCCTGCTCACCGCTGGTCTCCTCGAGCCTCAATCACCCTGCCTCCCCCTTTCTCCCTCTTTGTCTTCCTTTGGCCCCTCCACCTACCTCTCTGCAATTCACCCCCGGAGCAGTGGAGACCCTGCCAGCCACAGGAGGGCTGGCGACACTGGGTACACTGCCCCCCAGAAAGTAGCCTTCTAGCCAGAGTGAAATGAAACACCCTAATTTGGCTGTGGGGACAGTGGAAGGGAATCCGAGGGCCCAGGTTGATGGGTGCGTGGTGGCTTAGCCTAAAGCCTTCCCAGACTAGGTCGCCCCGTTGTCCCTTTGGTCCCTTCGCCCCCTGGGGCCCCGAGGTAGCTCAGGGCTGAGGATCTTGCGAGTAAGCTGGCCTGAGTGCCAACACCTTTCAGAGAGCAGACCTCTTGGGGTTCTGTGAAGCACTTGGTGCAAATCCCATGCAAATTAGCCGCGCACATTCTTAGTGGCCTCTGCTGGTGAGGCTCCTTCAGGGCGTGACCTGTGCCCGCGGAGGACGCCTGCAGGGCACTTTCCTGGAGGCTTTAGATGTGTCTCACTTTCAATTGCTCCATTTTACCCATGAAAGAAACTGAAAGTCAGAGAGGAGCGGCGACCGCCTGAGGTCACTCAGCACTGCAGACCCTAGAAGGTGAAGTGAAATGGCCCTGACCTTCCTGCACCAGACATGAAGGCTCCAGTGTAACCACCAGCGCAAACAATTTCCAACAAAGCGCCTGGGTTCTCCCTGTCCAGGAGAGGCTGCCTCTGCCCAGAGCCACCTCGAGGTGACATTGCAGGGCCAGCTGGCTCTCTGAGTGTTGCCTTTGTCATTTCTCAGAGGGCGATAATGACCCCCATTCTGCTTCCCCAAGATGTCATGAGGCTGAAGGACTTTGGAAAGTCCTCAGCAGGTGTCGATCTGGTGATTTGCACTGAGAGTTTGGGGTTCCCAGCAAGCGTCTGAGATGTCTTGCCTGCTCTGGGTCCTTGACAGCTTTAGCTTCTGTTCCCCACCAATTCCCCCCGGAAATGTTCTACTATGCTAGAAAAGCAGGATTGCTGTCTTGACACCCCAAATTCTGAAAGGTCAGCACAGCAGTGGTTAGGAGGCCATCTTCTCTCCTGCTGCACTTGTCAGCAGAAGTGAGACCGGCTGTGCGCTCACAGGAAGTGTCGGGGCGGGGTGCCGAGTCCCAGCTCTGCAGCTCCAGCGTGGTGTGTTCCATCCTCCCTGTGCTCAGGTGCTCAGCAAGCATCTGCCCCGCCCTCGCTGGGCTCCAGTCGGCAGCCCTCGCTGGACATTGACAACCACTGACAGGGAAAGCCGGTGCCAAGCAAAGGGGTGTGAAGAGGGCCAGTCCTAGTTTGGGGGAGGCCATGGACGGGTTCCCTGATGGTGCATCTGAGCTGACATCTGAGAGCTGTAGGCCAGCAGCAGCTCGCTGCACTCAGGTGGCAGAAATTCACAAGTCACCAGTGCGCATGTCTGGATCCCTGTCAAGTTCTGGCTTCCAGGCAGCACCCACTCCTGGCACTGAAGAATAAAGGAAACAGCTGGGTGTGCCTTCAGTTAGGGTGCTGCTCGGAGAGTGGGGCGGAAGCCCAGGGGAAGGTGAGGTGAGCTGGGACCTTTCCAGACCTTTCTTGGAATGAAATGAAATTGACTTATCGCAGGAAGTGTCACCCCGACTCAGTGAAGATGCTGCTGGCTGCTAGTGGCCTGCGTGTTGACATCAGCCTTGGGGCCCAGCCCTGTCTCTCTCTCTCGGCGTTAGGGGTTCTGCTCTCCTCTGTGTTAGTGCCATGGTCAGGAAGTCCCCCACACCCCAATTTCGATTTACGCAGCCCGACTCCTTAGTGCAAAGAGTGCTCCCCACGCAGTAGTTTCAGCGGGGGCTGGGGCTGGGTCAGCACACTCAGGAGTGCGCAGCCAGAGGGATGGTGCCCGAGGTTGAGAGTAGGAAGAAGTTCTGCAAAGGGAAATCAGGAGGCAGGAGCTGGGCAGGCAGAACCCATGGGGGCCACCTCATGCCCCACACACAGCCCCTGGGAAGTCATAGGTAAGAGCAAAATCCAGATGGTGCCGGCATCGACACCGTCACGGTGGAGTCCTGCAAACAGCCAGCCCAGGTCCTGCCACTTGCCTCCTCCAGGCTGGCTCCCTGGTCTAGCCCCATTCTCTGCTGCAATAACTGCCCACTGGGCTGGGTGCTTCCCCTCTGTCATCTAACCTCTGCTGGGGCTCCCTACCTGAGAGGACCCTGGTCGCTCCTCGCCCCCTGGACCACAACCATGTGCTGTTGGCCCCCCAGCCTCTCAGATGCCCCCCTCCCTGGGTAGCTCAATCCAGCTACTCTGCCTCAGGACATGCCTCGGCTATTGCCTCTGCCTGTGCGCTCTTCCTCCAGCTGTCCCCATGGTCCTTTCATCACTTCCTTCAGCTCATTTCTGACTGTCGTGCTCTGAGACCCCACCCTCCCGTGTTCCTCTTCTCAGCGTCCCTCTTCCACTGCGTCTGTGTGCTGAACATGCCCACACAGGTGGGGCCTGAGTGCGTCCTGCTGATGAAGAAGTCACCGCACGTCCCTCTCAGGGCACGTAGACGCAGCCAGGAAGCCAAGTTGGGTCCTGTCTGCCTGGGATGCTCTGTGCACTGGGCACTTGGGGTGGCAGGAGCGCTTGCAGACGGGTGCTCAGGCTTGCTCAGGCGAGTCTCCGCTGCAGGCTCCCTACGGAAAGCGCTCTCACCATACCCAGCAGTGAGAAGGCCGCAGCCATCGGGGGCCCGGGCATGCCTTTCTGCAGGGAGGCGAGGGTGCAGGTGCCCTGGGGATGGGCGATCGGGAGTGGGACCTGGGGAAGACAACAGGCCCCGCCTGTGGTCCCTTTGCTTGCCAGCCCGGCTCCTGGGCCTCACTGTGGGGCAGCCTATCCCCTTGGGGCCAAGCGCAGGGCTCCCTTTATGGAGCCCCCAAGTTCTCTGCAAGTTTGACAGACTGCCACGGCAGTCTCCCCCCTTGTGTTTGCATGTGAGACTCCCTGCCAGGGTCCTGGGCACCCAAGAGGCAGGAAGTGGCAGGGGAAGCAACTCGGGGGCTTTCCAGGAACTGGGGCGTGATGGGAAGGGCCAGTGGCTGAGCCTGCCAAGGATGGCCTCACCGCGTGCCTCTGAACTCCTCCCGCCCCTGGCCTTGGCAAGGTTCTCCCCTCTCCCTGGACACCCCTCGTTACCCTTCTCGCCGTAGGGCTGACTGCTTTCCTTTCGCTGCTGCTTCTGGCCCGAGGCGCCCCCTGCCCCAGCCCAGCTTGCTCTCTCCAGGGGCAGCCTCTTCAGGCCCCTCTCTCAGTGTCAGCTCCCCTGGGGTAGACCCTGCAGGTGACTGCCTCTCCCACCCGTGACCTCCGCCAGGCCTGAGCCCCAGGTACCCCTGTCCCCCAGAAATGCGCTGGCAGCTGAGCGAGCAGCTGCGCTGCCTGGAGCTGCAGGGCGAGCTGCGGAGAGAGCTGCTGCAGGAGCTGGCCGACTTCCTGCGGCGCCGCGCCGAGGTGGAGCTCGAGTACTCCCGAGGCCTGGACAAACTGGCTGAGCGCTTTGCTGGCCGTGGAGGTCGCCTGGGGGGCAGCGGCCGCGAACACCAAAGTTTCCGGTAGGTGCCCTCTGGCAGGAGGCTGCGCAGGCAGGTGGGGCTCCTCGCAGCAGCCTTCTGTGTGAGTGCCCCTTTGTCCCCAGGAAGGAGCCGGCCCTCCTGTCGCCCTTGCACTGCTGGGCTGTGTTGCTGCAGCAGACGCGGCAGCAGAGCCGGGAGAGGGCGGCCCTCAGCGAGGTGCTGGCCGGCTCCTTGGCCCAGCGTCTCAGCCACATCTCGGAGGACGTGGGCCGCATTGTCAAGCAGGTATGGCCCCGGCCGGGCGGGATCAGGCGGTGGGCACGCCATCCCCACGCAGCAGGCTGGGAAGACGTGGGAGGCCAGGTGGGCTTCGGGCAGAGGGGAGTTGGGTGGGGCCCCAGTGCCAGCCGAGGAGTAGCAGCCGCCCTGGCTCTGCTGGTTACCTCCCCCAGAGTAAGGATTTGGAGCAGCGGCTGCAGGAGGAGCTCTTGGAGGTGGTGTCAGAACTTCAGACGGTGAGGACCGTGCAGGCTCGCCCCAATCAAAGGGGAGCCATCACGTTATGTCTCAAGAATTGGGTGCCCCGGGGAGACTTGGGCTTGTGGGGTCACCAGTATACCTACCCATGCTCTGGGACCACATCCCAGATGGACTGCGGGGTGGGGGGAGGACTGGTCGTGGCTGTGGCGTTCAGCGGGGCCGCCTGGCCTTGGGCCTCCCTGCAGGCCAAGAAGACGTACCAGACTTACCACGTGGAGAGCATGAACGCCGAAGCCAAGCTCCGGGAAGCAGAGCGGCAGGAAGAGAAGCGGGCAGGCCGGACAGTCACAACGGCCACCACCACCGAGGCAGGGCCCCTTCGCAAGAGCTCCCTTAAGAAGGGAGGGCGCCAGGTGGAGAAGGTGGGCTTGCAGGGCACCTGTCTATCTCTGAAGACTCTGCTCCTGGCCTTGGTCACAGTGAGGCCCTGGCCCTCCCGTGGCTGGGGAGGGGAAGAGCCACAGACTCCCAGCGAGGCTATGAGCAAAGGACCTCGGTCTGCACAGCCCTGGAGGACAGAGGGGCCGGGATGAGAGCTGCTGGTCCCAGCCCAGCCCATGCAGTGTTCCTCAAGCTCCTGCCTGGTCCCCCCAGCCTAGCTGGAGTGAGAGAGCTCTGTTGCTTCCAAGCCGGGGGCCTGTCCACCCCTGTCCCTGCCTCACACAAAGCCATGAAGGTTCAGAGGGGTGGGAGGACTGTAAGATGGGCGACTGCATGACATGTAGGGAGCAGAGCATTTGAGGTGGTCCCTGAAGAGGAATGAGGAGGCTGAGGCCAGCAGAAATGCAAGGGTGGAGGTGCCAAGTCAGGTGGACCTGTGGTTGTGAGATGGGAGGGTTTATGCATAGCCAGGTCAGGGGACATCAGGACTTCTGAGCCTGTGCCCATCGAGGGTAGCTGTCGACATGGGGTGGGAGGGTACATGGTGGCGATGGGGGCAGGCCTGTGGGCTGAGTGGGTGATCTTTGTGCTGATATGGTTTCGAGCAGCGTCAGGCCAAGTTCTTGGAGCACAAACTCAAGTGCACGAAGGCACGCAACGAATACCTGCTCAGCCTGGCCAGTGTCAATGCTGCTGTCAGCAACTACTACTTGCGCGATGTCTTGGACCTCATGGATGTGAGTGCTGGGTAGCTGGTGGGAGGCAAGTGCCTTGTGCACTGAGGCCCGTCTGAGCCATGTCCTTACTTCCTCCTCAGTGCTCTGACACCGGATTCCACTTGGCCCTAGGCCAGGTGCTCCGGAGCTACACTGCTGCTGAGAGCCGCACCCAGGCCTCCCAGATGCAGGGCCTGGGCAGCCTGGAAGAGGCAATAGAGGCCCTGGATCCTCCAGGGGACAAGGCCAAGGTGCTGGAGGTGCATGCAGTTGCCTTCTGTCCCCCACTGCGCTTTGACTACCAACCCCATGAGGGAGATGAGGTGAGGGTCACTCCCCCTGCCCCCTTAATGCCCCAAGCATGGCCACAGAGCTGGTCCAGGAACTTCCCTTCCTTAGCATCCTGAGCACCTCTGCCACTCGCTTCTGTGCTTGAGCCTCTGTCCCAGGTCTTGTGTCTTCCTCTTTCTTGGTGTATCACTCTCTCCTGGGTGGCGCCTTCACCAAGAGTTTCCTGACCACATGTGTCTAGAAGTGCCCCGATTCTATCACTGCAATTGATGGGTAGTTTAGCTAGGTATGAAATCCAAGGCTCAAAATCCTTTCCCTTCAGAATGTTAAAGGCATTGCTCCAAGGTCTTTGGCTTTTAGTATTATGGGGGAGAAGTCTGATACCATTCTGAGCGCAGAACTGTTGTATGTGAACTATATTTTTTCTTCCTGACGCTATTAGGACAGTTTCTTTCCCCCTTCTCAGATTTTATGATGCCCTGCCTTGGGGAGCCTTTATCCTTCCCAGCACTAAGCAACCTCTCAGTCTGGAAAGTCATGAGGTTTGGGACTCATGTTACTTCTTTGATAATTTTTTCCCCTGCATTTTATTTTCACTCACCTTCAGGAATCCTTGTCATTGTAATTGGATGTTGGACCTCATGAGCCAACCCTCTTTCCTATTTCCTATCTCTATACATGTTAATTCTGGTTTCTTAGGAGTTTATTCAACTCTCTCTTCCAATCCTTATTGAATTAAAACATTGCTTTCATGTTTTTAATTTCTAAGAGTTCTTTTTGGTTCTCCACATTTCTATTTTTTTTTTAAGATTTATTTATTTTATTTATACAAGCACTGGGTACAGTCAGAAGCACGGGAGGGTGAGAGAATTCACCAGAGCCAGAGTGGGGAACAGAACAGGCAGACTGACGAAGTACACTGCTGAGGGGAGCAGCGGGCGGCAGGAGAGGTCTGCGCGCCATGCGGGACCCTCACTGGTGGCCGGGGGTCGTACCGGTGCTGCAGAGGCTGCGGGCAGCTTCGCAGCCCAGCACTCAACCGCTGCGCCACCAGGGGAGGCCCCATATTTCTATTTAAAACAACCATTTGTTCTTGTTTCATGGATATAATATACCTTCCTGAGTCTCTCTGAAATGATAATTTGTTTCTTTGACATTTTCCTCTATTATCTGCATTTTCTCTGTTATCTATAGCTTTTTTTTTTTTTTTTTTTAAAAAAAGCTTGCTTTGACCTATGTCTTCTGTTTTAGAGTTTCTCTCAAATGGCTGCCATTTCTTGGCCATTGGTTCATAAGAGGAGGTTCTGAGAGGTGGGTCAGGTATTTGATGTGAGACCGCAGAGCTTGTCAACAATGCACTTCCTTATAGGGAAGGGACTGAACTCATTGCTTTGAGGGAGACCCACACCTTGGGGAATGGGATGGGGAGGAGGTGTGTCTTAGGAAGAGGGTGAGAGACAGGACTTATAGGACTTGGGCTAGAGTTTAGGGGGTGGGGAGCAAGGCAGTGGGGTTTGACTGTGGGTTGGATGCTTTCAGGAAGCCTGGCTGACTGACTGGGTGTTGACTTTTATCTAGAAAGCAGTGGGACTGAGGGCTGAGAGTCCATGGTCAGGAAGCAGCAGTCACTCATGTTAGCCGGAGTAGAAGGAGGTTTGGCCATTTTTGTGGTTTGGGCAAAGTTCTTTGTTTTTTTCTGTGCTCAGACATGATTACCAAGCGGTCTTGTTTTTGTGTTCCCCCATCATGGACCCAGAGCGACCTTGTGTGATTTAATGCTCTGTGACAGTCCATGTGTTCGGTAGGCTAGCCCAAGGCTCAGCTCTCAGCTCTTGGCCACCCCAGAGGGTGGCGGCTGCTTTGCTCTTTCTCATCAGCAGGGGGTTTCGTCTCCTTCAGCTGTGACCCGTTTCCCTGAACCCACAATTCATCTGATTTATACTTTCCAGAGGGTAAATTTCTAGTTTTCTACTAATTGTGTGGGTTTGAGGGGACGTCTTCTAATGTCAGTGTTCCCTGAGGCCTAATATACTTTTTTATAATTCCAGTAAACACACAGAGCTTTACCATTGTAACCATTTGTAAGCACACGGTTCAGTGGCAGCAAGTACTCTCCCAGTGTTGGGTGACCACCCCCACCATCCAGTTCCAGAAACTCTTCATCTTCCTAAATTGAAGCTATCTCCTCTCCATTAGACACCCATTCTCCATTCAGAGCCCTCGCCCCCCCTCTGCAGACTCTCCCCTTTCTTCCTCTTTTGCTATGTACCTGACTGTTCTGGGACCCTCACACCAGTGGGACTACACAGCACACATCCTGTGGTATCCAGCTGGGGTCACTCAGCACGATGCCCAAAGGTGGGGATGCGCGTTAGAACGCCCTTCCTGTGGAAGGCCCACTGGCTCCCCGCTGCAGGGACAGCCACGCTCCCTTCACCCACCCCCATCCGCAGACGCTGGGGACTCCGCCTCTTTGTGTTGTGCTCTGAGTGTGGGGGTGCACGTGTCTCTGCGGGCCCTGCTTTCTCTTCTTTTGGGCGTGTAACCAGAAGTGGGGCTGCTGGGTCATACAGAGTCTGTGTTTAACTTTGAGAGGAATCACCATATGGCTTCCTAGGTGGACTTTGCCAGTCTTGGCTTCCACCCCACCCACACCCCAGCACTACAGCTGCTGCCCCCAGCCTTCTGGCTGCTGCTTCTGGCTTCTGTCTGTCACCTCCCCGGTCTCCATTGTCCACAACTTTTGCATCCCTCATGGGCGTCACCTCTTCCCCTTGCCTGGTGTCCCTGTGCTGGCCCCTGCGCCCCTCCTGCTGGGCTTGCAGGGAGTGGCGAGCTGGGCACAGGGCATGGTTAGCCTGTTGTTGGTGAGGTAAGTCCTCACTCTTGAGTAACTTGATGTCAGAACCTTCTGCATGTTCACGTGTTCCCAGGAGAGGGACCCCTCGTCCCCCCCCCCCCCCCCCCCCCCGCTCTACCCGCCCGCCTGCAGAGCCCGCACTGCTCGCTCGCCACAGGGGCTCGGTCACTGTTGGAATAGAGTGAGCAACTTTCCTGTCCTCTGTCCGCCCCAGAAAAGTTCTGGCCGGGCCCTTCCTCTTCTGCCTCAGACCCTGCTCTCCTTACCTTTCTCCTTCCCCTCCTGTTTTATATAAACCACTCTACTGCGGTGTAGCCCTGCCCGTAGCCCCCCTAGAGTGTACAGGTCTCTAGCCGCCTCTAGAATCCTCGCCGTCGTGCTGCCAGCACCTCTGTCTGATTCCAGAATGTGTTCATCGCCTGCTTCTGGACTTTGTGGAAACCTGGTGTTTTCAGGGATCGTCCGCGTTGCGGCGGCCCAGCCAGGCCCGCATCCTTTTGCATGGCCGACTGACGGCCCACGGAGTGAAGGCGCCGCCTTTGCTTACTCACTCAGCAGCCCGTGGCCACCGGGCTTCCTTCCACCCCTGGGCCCTCTGAGCCGCGCCACTGTGCGCGTGTGCTCTGGCCTGGGTGCCGCCTGTTCCACTTTCCCGAGCTGAGCATGGAAGCCTCCCGCGCTGCTGGTAATGTTCATCGGCCCCAGACAGCAGAAATGTGCTGGTGCCCATAGCCTGGGCCAGGCCCTCTGCCCCTGGGCTCGCCCCTCAGACCCCCGGACACTGCCTTGCACAGGTGGCTGAGATCCAGGTTGAGATGGAGCTGCGGGATGAGATTCTGCCCAGGGCCCAGAATATCCAAAGCCGCTTGGACCGACAAACCATCGAGACCGAGGAGGTATGAGTCACTGGCCCGGGGCAGGAACAGGGCCCTGGAGTATGGAGCCAGCCGGCCCACCCTCCCCTTTCCTTCTGACTTGGCCTTCCTGTCCTCTGTCTGCCTCTCCCCCCAGGTCAACAAGACACTGAAGGCCACATTGCAGGCCCTGCTGGAGGCGGTGGCCTCGGACGATGGGGACGTGCTCGAGTCCTTCCAGGCCTGTCCCTCCACTGAGTCCCTCAAGTCAACCAGCTCCGATCCAGGGGCTCGGCAGGCTAGCCGAAGGCGGAGCCAGCTGCAGGAAACAGAGACCTTCTATCTCACGGTGGGAGGGGGGCCGGGGCTGGGGGGTGCAGGAGGCCCAGAGCGGAAGGTGCGAGTCCGAGTTCTTGTGGGGCTTCCAGAAGCTGCAGGAGTACCTGAGTGGACGGAGCATCCTCGCCAAGCTGAAAGCCAAAAATGAGAAGCTGCAGGAAGCCCTTCAGCGAGGTGGGCCCTGCCTCTGCCCCGCAGCCCCTCCTGCCCCCCCCCAGGGTACCCTCCCTTGGCTTTCCTTCCTGGAACCCCCTCCCCCATACCCATGGCCCACTCTGCCTGCAGAGGGGCAGGAAAAAAGCCCACAAGGGGCCTGGTTGCTTCCTGACTTTGGCCTTCAGGCTGCCCTTTGTCACCATGGTGCGCGGTGGCCCTGGCCTGAGAAGTACTGCCACGTTTTCTCTCCCCCAGGTGACAAGGAGATGCAGGAGGCATCCCGGTGAGTCTCTCCTGAGATGGCAGTGTGTTCTGGGGACTGGACTTCTGTCATAGTGCCCGTCTGCTCTCCCCTTGGTGCCCAGCTCTGCTGCACCTTCCTCGGTGACTCAGTTTCCCACTTTTCCTAGTGGGTTCTGGAATAATTCTCAAGTTCCAGGGCCCTTTTTGGCTGGGCCAGGAAGGCGGGGTCTCCTGTTCTCCATGCCCATCTCCCTCAGAGCCAGTCCCTATTCGCCACAGGACCCAGTATACACAGAGAAAATTCCAGAAGAGCCGCCATCCCCGCCCCAGCTCCCAGTATAACCAGAAACTCTTTGGGGGCAATATGGAGAAGTTTATCCAGGTACTCGCTTTGCCTCACCTTCTAACTCAGTGTAGGCCTACCCCTGCATTCTGGTCTGCGCTGGGCTGCGAGCACAGGGTGGTCCAGGGTGTCTGTGACAAAAAAACCCAGGTAGCAGCATTTTTGGGCCTGAGGAGTTGAACAAGCCACACAGGGTCCTCAGTGCTCTGTTCCAGACCAGCATAGCTCTGGGGTGGAGTGACAGAAAGAGGCTGCGCCCATAGCCATTGACAAGAATGACAGACTATTTAAACGAACAAATGTGAGTTTGGCGCTTTGACTTCATTCAGGGTCCGCAGAGCGCATCTGATGGCATTTTCACATGCCAGAGTGGGTCAGCACAGAGAATGGAGAGGGAGACAGCACCCCTGGGAGGGGCTGGTGCAGGCGGTGGCCTAAGGCGCTGTTAAGAGAAGCAAAGGCAGCGAGTGGTGGGGGGAGGTGCGCTGTGTCCTGTGAGGTAAACACTTCTCTGTCCCCAGAGCTCAGGGCAGCCTGTGCCGCAGGTGGTGGAGAGCTGTGTCCGCTTCATTAACCTTCACGGTAAGCAGACCCGCCCCCCGCTGGCCGCCCCATCCCGGAGTGGGGAGGGGCCCAGCACCCACCGGTCTCCGCCCTCCTGCAGGCCTGCAGCACGAGGGCATCTTCCGGGTGTCGGGCGCCCAGCCCCGGGTTTCAGAGATCCGAGAATCTTTCGAGAGAGGTGGGACTGGGCCGCGCCGGGCCGGGCGGGGGGCAGGCCGGAGTGGGTGTGAGTGGCCTTCTTGTCCCCTGTGGGCCTAGGGGAGGACCCGCTGGTAGAAGGCTGCACTGCCCGTGACCTGGACTCGGTGGCCGGGGTGCTGAAGCTCTACTTCCGGAGCCTGGAGCCCCCCCTCTTCTCCCCGGACCTGTTCGGGGAGCTGCTGGCCTCTGTGGGTAAGGCCCGGGTCTGCAGCTGGGGGGTGCCGCTCATGTGGGCGCGGCCGCGCTCATGTGCTTTCCTCCGGGTGGGGGCAGAGCTGGAGGCCCCGGTGGAGCGTGTGGAGCATGTGAGCCGCCTCCTGGCCCGGCTTCCCAGCCCGGTACTGGTGGTCCTGCGCTACCTCTTCAGCTTCCTCAACCAGTGAGTGCTCAAGGGGCACGGGGGGGGGGGGGTGGCGGCCAAGGTGGGCGCCTGCGGGTGACCCCTGCCGATGACATGCGTTTCCCCAGCCTGGCCCAGTACAGCGACGAGAACATGATGGACCCGTACAACCTGGCCGTGTGCTTCGGGCCCACGCTGCTGCCTGTGCCCGCGGGCAGGACCCGGTGGCCCTGCAGGGCCGAGTGAACCAGCTGGTGCAGACCCTCATTGTGCAGCCGGCGCGGGTCTTCCCACCCCTGACCCTGCTGCCAGGCCCTGTCTACGAGAAATGCATGGCACCACCTTCTACCAGCTGCCTGGGGTATGCGCTGTGCTGCCGGGGCTGGGAGGTCTGGCAGAGGGGAGCCCTTGCCTCCGTTCATTCTCCTCACTCTGCTCGGACCTCAGGGACACCCCGCTGGAGGGCCTGGCGGGGGACAGTGAGCTGGACCTGGAAGCTGGGACCCCGACCCCAGAGGACGGTAAGGGGGTGGGAAGGAAGGCCCCAGATTGTGCCCACCCTCGGCGCCCGCTCCACCTCCTCTTCTTTGCAGACTTGGAGGGCGTCGTGGAGGCCGTGGCCTGCTTTGCCTACACCGGCCGCACAGCCCAGGAGCTGACTTTCCAGCGTGGGGACGTGCTGCGGCTGCACGAGCGCGCCTCCAGGGACTGGTGGCGGGGCGAGCGTGCAGGCGCCCGCGGCCTCATTCCCCACAATTACATCTCGCTGTCGGCGGGGTGAGTAGGCTGCTCTCGCTCGGGAGGCTCCTGCCAGGCTGCCGGCCAGTCCCCCGCCCGAGCCCCAGGCGTGGAGCATTCCTGACCGCGTGTGGCTGGCCCCGAGCCTCTTGGTCTTCTCCATCCCAGGGCGGAGAGACCCGTGGCGGTGGTGCCGCAGAATGCAGGGGAGCTGGCGAGCAGCCCGGAGGGCCCCCTGGGCATGGACTTTGCCCGTCGGTAAGCTGAACAAGATGGGACCTCGACGAGACCTGGGGCAGCCCCACTCGCCCACCCTCACCCGAGCACTAGGCCAGACCCCAGGGGGCTGGGCTCAAGCTCTGGCTGTGCAGAAAGGGCTGCCGTGGGGGGAAGGGTCATCTACTGAGGGACACTGAGGACAGAATGGGCCCTCTGGGCCAGCAGGCCCCTTCCTGGGCCGCGCCTGGGGCGGGAGGCTCTGTTGGCCTAGCCCAGGGACTGCCTGTCCCACCCCCTGCCAGTCTCACCGCCTGTGCCCTGCAGGCCAGAGCCGTGCACCCCACCTGATGCTGGTGGCCCCTCTGGGCACAGACGGCACTGCTTCGTCCCCACGTCCCCGGATCGGCTCATTGAGGTGGATGAGGTGAGTTGTGACTGGCTGTGTGTCAGGAGGGGGCACCTCTCCTGAGGGGTCTCTGTCTCTGCTTATGAACCCCTCTTTCCCCCACCACCCCAAGTTAGCCTTCTTTTCCTGGCTCAGACAAGCTGATGTGACCCCCCCCCAGCTCAGGGAGTGGCCCGCCAGGGGTGAACGTGGGGCAGGACAGGCCTAGAGACAGGATGGAGGCCACAGGTCCCTCACTGGGTTCCTGAGTGGGTGGTGTCGGCACTGAGGCCAGAATGGCGTGGGCAAGGGGCAGGTGGCGGGCAGTGACATGGCGGGAGCTGAGCGGGCTAGGGAGGGGGAGGAGAGACTGACAGGCCAGGAAACCAGGTGAGGAGGTTCTCGAAGCGGGGAACAGTGGGTGCAGTCTGGGGCAAGCGGCCCCCTGTGGCTCCCAGCGAGCCCCGATGGGCTGAGACCAAAGCCCTGGGGATGGGACTGAGCCCCGCGGGCACCCTCGTGAGCACACCCGGTGTCCTGTCCCGCGGCCACGCCTGGGAGCCTGCGACAGGAGGGGCGCTGGGGCCGGGCGCGGCAGTGGGAGGCCCCAGGGGCGCGGGCCAGGTCGGGTGCGGGTGGGGCGGAACCGGGCTCTCTGGTGCGCCCGTGGTCCCTGGGGCTGCGGGGGGTGGCCGTGGTCTCAGTCAGGGAGAGCGGGTGTGAGAAGAGGGGCGGGGACCCAGCTCGAGGGCCCCCGCTTCATGGGCCGGGCTGAGGAGCGCTGTCCCCAGAGGACGCTGTGACAGCCGCAGCTGAGGTGGCCGGAGGGAATGCGGAGGGGGGTGTGACGGCAGCGCGGGCCCTGGACAGGGGCGGCCCGCTGGCCCCTGGGGGAGCAGGGAGGAGGCCAGGGTAGCGTGAGGGGGGCTCGCCTGGGTTGGTGGTCAGCGCCGAGCTGGGTGGGGGCATGGCCAGGCAGCCAGGGCACGGGGCGCCCTCAGCAGCCCCTCCTCTTCCCTCCCCGCCAGGCGGTGGCACAGAACATGGGCTCCGTGTTCAGAGAGCTCTTGGGGAAGACAGCAACTCGACAGGCTCTCGGGCCCACGCCCACCAGCACCCCCAGCCCCGGGCCCCGCAGCCGCTTGGGCAAGAACAAAGGCTTCTCCCGCGGCCCTGGGACCCCAGTGTCACCCTTGGAGCCCCAACCCCAGGGCCTGGACTCGACCCTCAAGCCACACTGATGCCCTGCTGGCTGTACAGGCCCGCGTGCCCTCCGCAGCCCTCTCCCTAGACCTCTGCTTCCCCTAGCTCTGCCCTGCAAGCACAGGGCGCTGCTTTTGGCCCTCTGCCTGCCCCAACCTGGCCCTGGGCCCCTCTGGGAGCAGCCTGGGGAGGTGGTGGGAACAGGCCCCGCCCAGCTCTGCCTGTGGGCCTACCAGCCCCCAGGCCCTTGTCTGCCTGAGCCCAGGGCGCTCACCTGGTGAGGTTGGCAGGCATTCATAAAAAACCTGTGTTGCCTCCCAATGTGTGCCAGTTCTTTGTCTAGGGGAGCTGGACAGGTGGGTACAGGGCAGCCCTCTGGCACCCCTGCTGCTCAAGCCCAGATGCCAGGATGCTCAGCCCAAGTGACATGTTGGCTCGCTTGGCAGAGCCGCTAGGGCCCCTTGGCACAGAGCCATCTGTGCCACAGCTGCATGGGTTGGGGATTCACCCCGTTAAGAGGTCAGTCCCCTGCATTGTGGGTTCCCAAGCCGCTCTATCTGGGTGTGCGGGGTCCCTCCCATGCCATTATCCTGATCCAAAGGAGACCTTCGCTGGGTGGGAAACGAGCTGGAATTTTAATTAGGGAGAAGTGGAGGGAGGAGGGAAGAGGGGCACGGAGGGAGAGAGAGGGAGGTGGCCCCACCAGCCCCAGCCGTCCCGGTGGTCCGGGCTCTGGAGCCTGGCTGTCAGCTGCCTGGCATTCATTGGGGTGGAAACCTTTTGCTGCCCCGGGCCCTGCAGCCCTCTCCCACCCCTCCCCACGCCCTGCACCAGGGAGCGACCCTGGGGTTGCGTCTCCATCCAGGGCCGGCTCCTGGCTTCTCAGGTGGATGTGTCTTTGGCCAGGAAGGAGCTGGCAGTGGCGCAGGACGCATCTTGGGGGCCTGGACTGGGTGGGGGGTGCCTCCGGGTGCAGCAGAGCAGGCCGCGCAGCTCTGAGGAGACACTGCTGCTGAAGAAGGCATAGATCCAGGGGTTGGTACAGCTGTTGAGGCTTGCCAGCAGCATGAGCAGAACGAAGGGGGGCCCTGTGGGGACGGAGCATCTTGGTGGGCTCAGGGTGTCTGGGCCAGGCTGTAACCCCACGCGTCTGCTAGGGGCTCAGGGGAGACACAGCCCAGCCCAAGCACCCTCAAGGCTCTGGCCACAGCACTGCCTACCCTCCAGAGGTGCCTCTGGGTCCCACGCAGCCCACAGCTGCACGAGGAAGAAGGGCGCCCAACACAGCACATACACGATCACGATCACCAGCGTCATCCTCACGGTCTTGGCCATGGCTGCTGACACCCGGGCCCCCTCGCTGGCACTGCCAATCCGGCCTGCTCCTCGGCGCTCCCCGGGCCCCTCTGCCGGTCCTGGCACCAGGCTGGCATGAATCTCCCGGAAGATGAGCACCTGGCAGGCAGCAATGCCCAGGGCAGGTGCCACGAATACCATCAGGGCGATCCAGGTGACGTAGGCACGGAGGCCCCAGGGCTCAGCAAAGCGGGCCCAGCAGTCGAGGACACCGCTGCCATCCCCCACATCGCGCTGCGCGAAGATGAAGAGCTGGGGCAGGCTGAGGAGCAGCGAGAAGGCCCAGGCCACCAACACCGGCCGGTTCCAGCGAGCACCACCTCCGTGGCGGTGTGCCAGCATGGGCCGGCAGATGGCACGGTGGCGGTCCAGTGTCATGGCCAGGATCATGTAGGAGGACGCGTACATGCCCACCATCTGCAGGTACTTGACAGCCCTGCACAGGGCGTCGGGCCCACGGAAGCGGTCGGTGGCATCCCAGGCCAGCTGGGGCAGCACTTGGAACAGAGCCACAGCCAGATCCGCCAGACACAAGTGGCAGATGAAGACGTGCATGGGTGCCCAGCGGCCCCGCCGGCCCCGCCTCGCCAGAGCCCCCAGCACCAGGCCGTTGCTCAGGGCTACGGCCACAAAGACCGTGGAGAGCAGGGCCAGCTCCGCCTGGGCCAGCAGCGGGTCTCGGGTGTCCGGCGGCTCCTCGCTCCTGTTGCCTGGTGGGCTGCGCCGAGAGAGGGGCCCGGGCACAACTGGGCCGGGTGGGAGAGAGGGCCGGGTCAGGGCCATGCTCCGCGGGGGCAGCAGGCCCAAGGTGCTTTCTGCTGCCTGGAGCGGGTGGCCTTGGTCTCCTGCAGCCTGGCTCGCAGCCCCCAGTGCAGGGGACGCTGCGAGCGACACCCCTGCATGGGGGTGGCCTGGTGGCCCCAGCTCCCGGGCTTTAGTTCAGGCTTGCCCCCCAGCCCCCCGTGCCCTGGAGAGGAGGGTAAAAGCAGGCTCTGAAAGGGGCATCTGGGCTTTGCGCACCCCACGGGCCACCTGGCTCACCGGGGCTGGGCAAGGGCCTGGCTGGCAGCTTACCAGAGGTGGGCGATGCCGTGAGCATGGCAGGCCGGTGGGCGGTGGGGCGGCAGGTGTCCTGAGCGCCTGGAGGAGACGGGGTGGGGTGCTCAACCTTGAGGGCTGACCCAAGACAGGATGGCCAGGAGCCTCTGTGCCTGGAGGGGTGGGGTTCAGCCGCGTGTGCAGCCGTGTAGAGGTGTTCCCCGCATTGGGCGATGGGGGTGCACCCTCAGCCTAGTCAAGGTTGATGAGGTCTGCCCCCCAGACCAGACATGGACCTGGGCGCCCAGCTGCTCTCCTCGCAGCCAGCAGGTGAGAGAGCGGGGCGCTCAGGTGGGTAGATGAGGAGACCAGGGCTGGCAGAGACTGCACCCTGCTGTGACAGGGGCCAAGAGAAGAGGCCATGGGAAGACTGGGGACGGGCTAGGAGGGGCTGAAGTGCTCCCCACTCCCCCTCAGAGCTCCTTACCTGGCTGCGCCCTGGGCCTCCTGGGCGGCTGGGTGGAGGGCAGAAGGAGGCCAGCAGCTCAATCTGCTCCGCATCGCAGCCCCGCCCCGCCCGGCCTCAGGGAGTGACCTGCCCAGGAGGGGACTTCCTCCCCGCCCCTCCCCCGCCCCCACGTGCCTCCCCTGGCCTCCTGCCTGTGGCACCGGGAAGTTGGCGCCTGGTCGCTGCTTCCCTTCCTGCCCCTGCCCTCCCGGTTCGTCCTCGGACTCCGGAGGGCCCTGGGCCAGCTTGGCTGGTCCCAGCTTGGTCCAGCCTGGACCGCCAGGCCCGGGCCCTGTCCCCGCCCCCACCCCGGGGCCCATCTCCACACAAAGTCTTCAGTCTGGTGGGGCTCCGGGGCGTCACTCAGTCCAGCTGCTCCTGTTATAATCGAGGAACATGAGGCCGGGGGTAGATGGGGGGACCAGCTTTCCTCTTCCTGGCCGAGCACCTCTGTCCCACTGTGAGTCCAGGAGAGGAAGGGGTGAGAGCTCAGGGAGTCCCCTGCACCAGAGGGGGCCCCACCCATCCTCCATCAGGGCTCTGGAGAGGAGGGCCAGGAAGGAGGGGGTGGGGCAGGGTCCAGTTGGAGTTTAAAGTGCCCCCTGAGACACAGCTTCCTCCCTCAGGCCCTTGGGAGCCAGGGACACTGCCCCATCTTCCTCCTGCCTACCTGGAGCTACCTGCCCTTGGAGGAGGGGCTCTGGGCCCCTGCAGTGTGCCAGCTCTCCCCGGGCTCTCACAGGCACCACTTCGGGCCCATGGGCACTTCACATAGAGGCTACAGTGTGCAGTGGCTGACCAAGGGGCCCGCCTCCTCCCTCTCCCCTCCCCTGGCACCAGGACCTCGCCCCCTCCAGCCCATTCTTTGCCCCATCCTTCCCCTGCCTCTTTCCATGCCCCCGGCCCGGCCGGCCCGGGCCAGCCCAAGGCAGTGGCCCGCACGCCTCCGGGCCAGGCTGCGCTGGAGAATGGCTCCTTTTTCCTGTTTGTCCGGCTTCTCTGTTGGCCTACGAGGCTCGAGACCAAAACAGCCTCGCACTCACCGAGTCCAAGTACGGCCGAGGCCAAGGCCTCATCTTCCTGCCGAGGACCTGGCAGCGCCCCAGCCCTCCTGCGTCCCTCCCTCACTGGGTAGCACTAGGGATCCAGTGTCTTACACACTCGCCACACCCCTACTCCCACACACACATACTGCCCCCACCCCCGCACGTTCCATTCACAGTGTCTTTTGCTGGACAGCTGAAAGTAGGGTACCCACGGCCGCCATGGGAACTCCCTGACCTCAGCTGCTGGGACAGGGTGCCCTGACTGACCACACTGCCCTCAACCCAGGAACAGAGCAGAGACTCTCCTACTGTGGTCCAGGGAGCAAAAGTGGCAGAAAGTGCAGGTCCTGACAAGTTTCTAAAACAGATTATTCAAGGAAAAGCTGTGGGTCACTGAGAAAAAAGTCACAGCGTGTTCAATCTGTCCTTCCACCCCCACCCCCCACCCATGCCAGGTCAGGGTGGCCTCGAGGGTTCGGTCCTCACCCCCGCCCCCACAGCAGGCAGGTGAGGTGGGAGCGATGTCTCCACCCACCACACCCAGTCTTGGGCCTCAGCGCGCCCCCTCTGCACCTCCCCCTCCGCCCCCCCACCCCGCTTGAAGGGTGAACAACGGAGAGAGATGGGGTGAAGGTGCCCACAGATCATGACCTATGGAAGAGCCTCCTCCTGTCGTGCATGGAGAGCAGCAGAGCAACCTGGGAAGGCAGGAGGGCAGGCCTGCCTCAGGGGAGGGGGCATCACCCAGGCCCCCCTTCTGGGCCCACGCAAGGCCCAGCAGGAAGGGTCCTGAGGGTGAGTTGGTGCTGAGCCGTGGGCCAGGCCCTTGGCCCTCACTGCTTCCTGCTTTCCTGGTTTCCCTTTGAGCCAGGGAAGTCTTCAGGAAGGCCTCTCCAAGGTTTTCTCTGGGCTCTAAGAAGAAAGGCAGGGGCTTTGTCCCCCAAGGCATGGATAGCACCAGCGCATACAGCTCCCTGCTCAGCCAGAGCAAGTCCTGAAGGGAGGAACCTCGAGCCATAAAGCAAGATGGCGACCAGGAGGGGGTTGGGCCCCTTAGCTCAAGGCCCAAAGTGTCAGGAGCCCCCGTGGGTGCCGGCCAGGTGAGAGGCCAGGCCAGGCCGCATCCCACCACCTGCAGCAGGGAGTCCACCAGAGGCCTGAGGCCCCGGGCTGACCCCCGCCCCAGCCCTCCCACAGGGGACGGGAAACAGGGCTGGGCAGTCGCTCTCGGGAAGAAAGGCCGCCTGGCTCCTGGCTGCTTCACCAGCAGGGCCACGTGAGTCAGCACAGGTGCCCGGAGCTGCCCAGAGCCCCTGCCCTCTGGGAGGAGTGAACGCCAGGCCCCCACTCTTGGCGGGGAGCCTGCCTCCCTGGGCAGGCCACTGATGGGGGCGCCGGGCGCACCTACCCTGCAGAGGGCAGCAGCTTGTGCTAGGGGCTCCCTGCAAGCCCTGCCAGTGCAGAGACCCCAAAATCTGCCCTGGGGAGGGGGCCAGGAACAGCAGACCTTCCCCACAGCCAAGGACAGGAACTCGGCCCCTCCACGAGCAAAAGGCCTACAGTGGGCAGGGACAGGCCTCGGCGCCTGGCTCCCCGCAGACCCCCTCCCCAGCGGCCGTGGCCCACGGGCCTCCCTCCTTCACCCCTCCCGGATGGACTCACTTTCTGCACCCGCGGGGGCCCAGGCCCACCACATTCTGTGCACCTATAGCAGAGCCCTGGGCCAGTCTCCCTGAGGTGGTTACTGAAGGGCAGGGATCTTAGAGTGGCTAGGGAGCCCCGAGAAGCTACTTCTGGAAGGCTGTGGAAGGGCCTTGCCAAGGACTGGCCAGTTATCCTCAGTGGACTCACCCCTTCTCCCTGCCCCTGAGGGCTGCCCCTTCAGTCGGCCCCCAGCTCCTTCTAGGACTGTGCTTCTGGAAGGGGCTCTGTAGGTGGGCCAGCTTAGTGGCCAAACAGAGGGGACAGGGGGAAGATGAGGGGATTGGGTTCAGAGTCTGCAGGACCCCAGACTTGCTGTCCTGCACCCCACTGGCTCTCGGGGCTCCATAAACAGCATTGCCACTGGCCTCACGTTGCTGGTGGGGACACAGCGGGACCTGGGCCCTGCCCTGCGCTGTGTAGCCCATGCCCAGAAGAGTGTGGCGTGGGGCTCGGAGGAGGAGGCTGCCACGCTCGGCCAGCATGGAGATGGCGGGACCTGGTTAATGCTGGCAGTGAGGCTGAAGAGAGTGGCATTTCTCCAGCCCTAGACAGACCTTTGTTTTTGTTTTTGTTTTTGGAAGATTTATTTATTTATTTACACAAGCACTGGGTACAGTCAGAAGCGCTGGAAGGTGAGAGAATTCACCAGAGCCAGAGCCGGGAACAGAACAGGCAAGATCGACTGAAGCACACTGCTGAGGGGAGCAGCGGGTGGCAGGAGAGGTCTGCGCACCATGTGGGACGCTCGCAGGCGGCCGGGATCGAACCGGTGCTGCAGAGGCTGAGGGCAGCCTCACAGCCCAGCGCTCAACCGCTGCGCCACCAGGGGAGGCCCTTTGTTGTTTTTTTCTTTTTTTAAAGATTTATTTATGCGGGCCTCCCCGGTGGCGCAGCGGTTGGGCGCTGGGCTGCGAGGCTGCCCTCAGCCTCTGCAGCACCGGTTCAATCCCCGGCTGCTCCCCGGCCACCGGAGGAGGGTCCCGCATGGCGCGCAGACCTCTCCTGCCGCCCGCTGCTCCCCTCAGCAATGTCCTTCGGTCCTTCTGCCTGCTCTGCTCCCCGCTCTGGCTCTGGCGGGTCCTCTCGCCCTCCCACGCTTCTGACTGTACCCAGTGCTTGTATAAATAAATAAATCTTTAAAAAAAAAAAAAGATTTATTTAAGCATACAAGAACTGGGGTACAGGCCAGAGGTGCAGGGGGTGAGAGGATTCACCAGAGACAGAGTGGGGAGCAGAACAGGCAGACTGACTGAAATCCACTGCTGAGGGGAGCAGCGGGGAGACAGGAGAGGTCTGCTGAGCCATGTGGGTTGCTCCCTGGCCGGGGATCGAACTCGCGCTGCAGAGGCTGCGGACAGCTTCGTAGGTTGCGTCCTAACCCCCTGCGCCCCCAGGGAGGCCCTGGACAGATCTTTGAAGGACATTTCAGGGATGAAAGAGAGAAAAGCCAGAAAACCGGGAGACACAGGCGCCCACAGGAAGGCAGGCCACAGTCGAGCTGCTGAGGGGTCAGGCCTGGGCACGGAGGAGGACCCCGGAGTGGGCATCCCTCCCGAACTCCTGCACCATACAAATGGGGGTCCTGTGGGCGGTGGGAAGAATGTGGAGGGGAGCAAATAAAGCCTCTCTGGCATCAGATTATTTTAGGCTGGTTATTTTTACTCCACCACCATCTCTATGCCCTTTTGACCCTTTCTCCCTCCCGTCCCTCTTAGCCACAGACACGACTCTGGGACTAGGAGTCTGCTAGCTCGTGACTCTTTAGCTTCAGCGTTTCATCCACCACGACTCCTTGTTTTACTCACATAC